CCTTCATATCTGCAGTCTCGAGAGAGTGCGGCCAGGGCTCTAATGCAAAATCGTACTCGAGGGAAGAAATCCAGGAATCTAAGAGCTGTAAAAATGGTTCAATTTGCTGCAAGTAAAAAGACCATTAACTGTGTACTTAGTAGATATTATTCAAGTTTATTCAGGTGTATTAAATATTAATCATGGAGCAAGCTGGCGTTTCCAAGTTATTTTCGTTTGCAATTAAGCTCACGAGACTTCCAGCTGATATTGTGTAATACCAATATTCATCCAACTTCATTTGCTTTTGGGAATCAAGGCTTGTGAAATTCATTGGAGATGTGAGGTCTATTCATATGATAGTGGGAAAATGCAACTACAAATCTTCATAACCTTTGTCTCCACGTAAAGCTGTTACTAAATACCGCTCATTGAGGCTTCCCCACCAAAAGGGGTGGCTACAGTTTGGAAGACTCTTTTGAGAAATCCTGGCATGCAGGCCTCCGATTGCTGAAGTTTAGAGCTCAAGTCCCAGTTCTACGTGGACGCCGTCGGGCCTGGGCTCGAGAGAAGTGCAGTTTTCGGTATCGGTTGGTCGGCCAATGTCGATGGTACTGGACTGTCAGGGGAGTACGGTATGTGCCACATTCAAGATTATTCATGAATTTCTTTTCATTTCAAGGAATGTGACGAATTTGTGTGGGAAATTAGGCAGCGAATATTTGTGGCTGCTGGATAGACTTAAGGTGAGACAGAAAAGGCCGCTGAGTAGGAGAAGGAGACCTGAATAGCTTCGAGTCTGATTAAGACTCTCACACTTCACATGACTTAGACTTTACACACGTACAGTAGCAATAACACATACGTAAAAAATGTCCCCCCCTTATCTAAAATAGTGTATGTATGCCAACCAAATCATGATGTACCCCATAAGGATAGCAAAATCAGATACAAGAAATGAGTGTGACTGCAGTGGGCCACTCCCAGTTTATTGACTTTTTGTATTTGGTACATTTTTTCGTTCTGCCGATGTCTGTCATATGACGGGCAAAATCTGAGAATGGGTTCACCAGCGTCGCAGGAAGGTGATTCAAGGACTTCTTCACTCTACTTCAATTCTCATTCAGTTTCGGGTGCAACCATTTCGCGAATTGCTTCCAGCCGACCTTTCCTTCTAAATGCAAAGTCATATCAGAATAAATCATAAAGGGATTCTTCGAAAATTCCGTTAGGCCTCAGCCAAATCACATGTTTCCGGTGTGATTGCCGATGAGGCAAACCTGTGTTTACCAGAGCAATCGCGAACCAGATTTCCCATTTTGACGGGCTTAAGTGTAACTCGAAATGCTATCCACTCGACCGAGTTGTCGGGAGATTGTCTCCATTGTCTGCCGGTCGGGGAGCCGAGTTGCGAAGTACGCGTCCAGCTGGGCCCGTTGAAGAGGAGGCCTGGATGCAGGGGTACAGGCGGATACCACTGTTGGGCTGAACGGGCTCCGCCAACGGACAGCTTGCGACCGGCTCGGTGTGTCAGAGTTGAGCTACAGCTGCAGCCCGAGTTGAGTGCGTGTTGAGTAGCATTGCAGGCTAGTCCCACAAGATGGCCTCCAAGTGACCGGCGCCTCTTGTGAATTACGTTCATTTCAAAGCCATTATGCCCTCCCAATAGGATATCTTCCTCTTTGTACGTCCACTTGTCTGCCCGGCCTCACAACTTTATAGTTATTTGCTCATCCTCACATGAGCAGGAGATAAGAGCACGTGTACATAGTACATTTTCGGTTCGCTCCTCCTCTTCTCTTCTACTCTTCTCCTACTCACCTCCGTCTCTCGCCTCGTCCGTGCCTCTGGCAGTTTGGCCTGTTGAGCCGAGTACAGGGCTCTTGAGCAGCTATCCATCCGAAATGAGGAAAATATTAACTTGGAAGCCATGG